GTTGGGACGGCTCAGGGAGAGAAAAGGATTGGGGCACAGGAGCAGGGGCACGAGGACGGCTCCGTCTAGGGGCTTGAGGGCCTCCCCCTTCTAGCAGTCGCAGTACAGTTGGGGGTCTGCGGGGACGGCGCTGAGTGGGACGGGGTGATGCTGAGTGGGAAGCTGCGGGTGCTGGGGCACAGGGCCTCGGGCCCTGTAAAGTGCTGGGAGGGGGGTGGGGGGGGCGCTGTGCCTTGGCCGCTGCAGAAAGTAGGCTGCTAGCAAGGAAGGGGGGTGCCCCAGGGCCTTCCACGATGGGGGCCCCTCCCTGGGGTCCCAGGACCAGGGGCAGGTGCATAGTGGCTGAAGACACTGGTGGTTGAGTGGAAGGACCAGGGGGACCACGGGGAGCAGGGAGATTATTGCTTGGGGGCAAAGGAGGGGGTGTTAAGGCATCACTACAGTGGAAGAGAGGAGGATCTGAAGGTGGCGAGGAGGAGGCATGAGGAGCTGGAAGAGAGCCCAAGTCAGGGGGCACCAGGCTGGATCGGAGGGGTGCTCCCCAGTTGTATGAGGGGGCATTGAGGCTAATGGCAGGTGGAGGAGGTGGAGCTGGAGAGGGAGCATTGCCTCTTGGGAGGAAACGGGGACTGCCGCTGCCTCCAGAGGGGACTGGATCAGGAAGCCTTGGTGGGAAGAGCCCCCCAGGGCCTGCTAGAGGGGGAAAGGCCTGTGGAACTGAGGATGGTTCTGGGGGAAGGGAGCCAGGACCCCCATTAAGTGGAGTTGTAGGAGGGACTCTACAGGGAGGGCGGGTAGAGGGGGGCCCTGGGGACACAGTGTGGAACATTTGGGGGCTCGCTCCCTCTCCTGCAATAAATGAGAAATGATGGGTTAGCTTCAAAAATTCCCAACCTCCCTGTGCCCTCCTTTCACCAAGCTGCCCTCCACTCCATCCTTCCTGATCCCTCCCATAAAACTTCCCATCATTCCTCTTCCAGGCCCTTTAAGTTGTCCTGTTTTCCTCTATAACGTAGAGACTCACCAGGAGAAGAGTGTGAGCAGGTGGTCTCCATGCTGCGGTACAAGGTTGCCATGGCAACGGCTTTCCTTCGATGGTTGCACAGCTTGGTCATGTCTTCCTCTGATGCTGGCCCCACCCCAGCCCCACCCGGGGTCACCGGGGCCAAAGGGTCAAAGTTGAAAACCTGTGAGGTAAAAGGCATGGACAGGGACCCTGAGGGGATGCGATCTGTGACAAAGGCTCCCATGGGCAGTGATGTGCATTAAGTCTCTAGGTTTATCCCTGTACTCTCTGGCAGGGACCCCTCATCACTCTGACCTTGGGGACATTGAGTGGACACTCCAGACCGCACTTGCAGGTCCCATCGCTGAGGAGGTAGCTCCGGGTTTGCTCCAAGGAAGACAGCTCGGTGCCACTTGGGCTGGGAGAGGAAGGGTCAGAGAGTATGGGGTTAGTTGACACTGAATTAGGAGACACTCCTAAATGACAGTTCCTTAGTCAAACACCTTCCTAGGAAGGGCAGAGGGAGAGTAGATTCAGAGAGACAGCAAAAAGGCTGAGGAGGGAGGAGGAGCAGGAGAGCGACAGGGTGCCAGAGACCTGAGCTTGGAGAGGGAGGGTGGGAGACAGAAATCCGGCAACTGAAGGGCCTGGGGATACAATTCAGGGAACTGAGAATCTATACCTGATATAGAGCACAGCACCCTCACGAACACAGCGCTGCCAGCCGATGGGGACAGATGTGGCCACAGGGCCCCCAGGTCTGTCTGCTCCACTGCTCTCATTGCCCCCATTCATTGTGTGTAATCAGCTCCCACGTGCCTGATAACAGACATCCATGGGCATTAGGAGGATTAAACTGGGCTGGGTACCTGAGGGAGTACTCCAGGAAGACAAAGGTTGTAGGGAGACCCTAGAGAGCTGGGTGGTTGAATGAGGGGGAACCCTTTGCCATCTCACCCACCATGGTTACCTGAACATCTCTGCAAACATTGTGGGGTCCAGTCTAAAGCCGGGGCCGCCAGCTTAGCCCACACCTGCAAGACAGGAGAGCGAAGGGACTGTCAGGAATCTGCCCAACTCAAGAGAGCACAACAGTTCAAGATACTCTCAAGGAAAAGATCCTTAATGAAGTAAGTGCCCATAAAAATCTCAGGGATCTGCTGGCTGAGTCCACAATCCACCTTTTACATATGCAATCCCTAGGTCAAAGCCTCAACTCTCAGGGGCCAAGGAATCACAGCCTAGACATATGAAGAGCAGGGTCCTTTTGTCCGGTCAGAGACAGAAGACTTGATCCAGGAGTGTGGGCAGATTCCCCTAATGCCAGGCCAGTAGGAGGTTTCCCAGAGAGTCTGGCCCCTGCTGCCTCCCCCACCCCCCAGGGAGATCATATAAAAAGTACAGATTGCCCCACAGGTCACCAGACCATTGCCCAACTGCTTGTTCGGGTGGTACCCAATAGAACTCGCCCCCACCATTGCTGATCTGGTTCATTTGGGTCTTAAGAAAGGTTGGAATCACAGCTCTGTCTTCTCCCGGAATCCTGAGAAGCTCCTGATTTCCTTCCAAACCTAAGGCAAGGGATTCAGCACCTCCTACCCACAGACTTCAAATTAGCTCCAACAGGGGCTCTTCTCTAATATGTGGGGCCGCCCCTCAAACCTGCAAGTCTCTCCCCAACCTCACCATCGCTCCTACCCCACACGGGTGGCTTCAAAACTTTCCCTCTCATAACAAGGCGCCCTGTCACCCAGCCTGCTTCCCTTCGCTTGGGGAGGAGGGGAAGGCGCACGAAGTAGGAAGGAACTTGGGGAGAAGGCGGGCGGAGGGTGGGCAAAGCACTGAGGGGAGGGAGGTGAAGAAGGCAAAAGTCAAGCAGTTAAGAGAGGGAAACGGTGGGGGCAGGTGAGGGCGGGAGAGTGAGGATGGGGCCAGGGAAAGGGGCCGAGAGGACGCAGAGGGGGCAGAGGGTAGGGACTGGAGGGGAGGGGAGGG